AGCAGGACCAATATCGTGAGGAGGACAGGGAGAAGGAGCAGCAAGAGCAGGAGCGCGCGGGCCGGGAGAGCGGGAGAAGCCGGATGCGGGAGGCGGGGGAGGGATGAGCAGCAGGAACAGAAAACGCAGGAGGGGGAGGAAAGCGGAGGAAGAAGGGTCAGCTACGCGCAGGAGTGACCCTAGGTAAGGGTGACCTCTGGTGCGCGGTTTTGTGGGGGGCCGCGGGGTGACCAAACACAGGCCCGCAAGACGCTTCTACCGCTTCGCGTTCAGCGATCGGGGGACCCCGGTGGGCCCGCACCGAAAGATCACTCTGGCGAAGGGTCACTCTGAAGGTGCCCTGGGACACGCAAATAAATACACACAAATAAAAGGATCCCCCTATATTTTCCCTATATTTGGGGTTTCCGTCTTCCCCCCCACTTCCCATAGTTTCCCATAGTTTCTGGGGTATCGACGATTAATTGTGTCTGCGTGCACTGGGTCTCGTCCTACTTCGGTTGTGTGTTTGAGCTTCGATTGCGACTGTTGAATGTTGCTTGTTGTGGTTTTCCCCTCCTGACACTCGCTCCGCAGTGATCGGAAAAGGGGAAGCAGCTAGGGAGGGGGAGGAGGCGGAGGAGGAGGAGGAGGAGGAGGAGGAGGAGGAGGAGGAGGAGGAGCGAGGAAGGAGGAGGAGGGAGGAGGAGGAGGAGGGAGGAGGAGGAGGGAGGAGGAGGAGGAGGAGGAGGGGGAGGAGAGGAGGAGGAGGAGGATAGGGGAACGAGGAACGAGGCTGGGCAGCGAGCTCTGCAGGCGGGCGGAGCCCGCGGCGCGACAGCACTCTGCGCAGGCAGGCGGCGCGCGCGGGGCGCGGGCGACCCGCGCGTGAGGCCGCCTGCTTCTTGCCCTCGGTGCTCGCCCTGGCCCCTCTGGTTAGGTCGGGCCTGTCCCCCTACAGGGGGATTTTCGACGAAAGGTTAAAAATACACACACAAAAAAAAGCAAAAGACGCTCCAAAAGTAGTCCAGGGACTATTTCTGGATTGTTTTTTGACCTTTTGGGGTATCTTTGGGGGTATTTTCAAGTTTTCGTTGAAAATCTCCCTGTAGAGGGGGACAGGCCCGACTTGACCCTCTGGGCTGCACGCAGGAGCGACCCCGGGCACCGGGCAAGAGTGACCTCCGGTGCGCGGCTTCTGGGGGGGCTGCCGGGGGGCCAAGTCCAGGCGCCCAAGCCGCTGCCATCGCCTCGCACTCGGCGAATTGTTCGGCGACTGGGGGGCCCCAGTGGGGCCGCCCCAATGGTCACTCCGGCGAAGGGTCACTCCCACGTGTAGCCTTTTGTGGGGCGTGTCCCCCTACAGGGGGATTTTCGACGAAAAACAAAAAGTACCCCAAAATGATCCCGGCAAAGCAACCTAACAGCGATGTGTAGGAGCATGTCTGGAAGCATCCCCCTTAAGATTCAGATGAGAATCCAGTTGTAGAGTTCTGCTGTTCTCGCAGTCGTAGTCGCATTCGCGTTATTATTACCTCAGCCTGCATTGCCTCAGCCTCAGCCTGCCTCAGATCAGCCTCAGCCTGCCTCAGCCTCAGCCTGCCTCAGCCTCAGCCTCAGCTCGCTCCTGCGCCTCCCTGACGGTCTGCCTGCGCCTCGGCCTCAGCCTCAGCCTGTCTCAGCCACAGCCCTGCTACAGCCTCAGCACTTGCCTCAGCCTGCGTCAGCATCGGCCTGCCTCAGCTCGGCCTCAGGCAGCTCGGCCTCAGCTCAGCCTCAGCCTCAGCCTCAGCCTGCTTCAAGCCTCAGCCTCAGTCTGCCCTTCAGCCTCGGCTCTGCCTCGAGCTGCCTCACCCTCAGCCCTGCATCCAGCCGGTGCAGCCTCAGCTCAGCCGGGCCTAAGCATCAGCTCAGCCTGCTAGCCTCAGCCCAAGCCTGCTTCAGCCTCAGCATCAGTCGGCTTGCAGCCTCGGCCTCGGCCTCGGGCCTCAGCCTCACAGCCCAGCCTGCATGCGCTCAGCCTCAGCCTCAGCCTGCCTCAGTATCAGCCTGCCTCAGCCTCAGCCTAGCCTGCCTCAGCCTCAGCCTCAGCCTGCTTCAGCCTCAGCCTCAGTCTGCCTTCAGCCTCGGCCTCAGCCTCAGCCTGCCTCAGCCTCAGCCTGCATCAGCCTCAGCCTCAGCCTCAGTCTGCCTCAGCCTCAGCCTGCCTCAGCCTCAGCCTCAGCCTGCCTCAGCCTCAGCCTCAGCCTGCTTCAGCCTCAGCCTCAGTCTGCCTTCAGCCTCGGCCTCAGCCTCAGCCTGCCTCAGCCTCAGCCTGCATCAGCCTCAGCCTCTGCCTCAGCCTGCCTCAGCATCAGCCTGCCTCAGCCTCAGCCTCAGCCTGCCTCAGCCTCAGCCTGCCTCAGCCTCAGCCTCAGCCTGCTTCAGCCTCAGCCTCAGTCTGCCTTCAGCCTCGGCCTCAGCCTCAGCCTGCCTTCAGCCTCAGCCTGCATCAGCCTCAGCCTCAGCCTCAGCCTGCCTCAGCCTCAGCCTGCCTCAGCCTCAGCCTCAGCCTGCCTCAGCCTCAGCCTCAGCCTGCTTCAGCCTCAGCCTCAGTCTGCCGCCAGTCTCGGCCTCAGCCTCAGCCTGCCTCAGCCTCAGCCTGCATCAGCCTCAGCCTCAGCCTCAGCCTGCCTCAGCCTCAGCCTGCATCAGCCTCAGCCTGCCTCAGCCTCAGACTCAGCCTGCATCAGCCTCAGCCTCAGTCTGCCTTCAGCCTCGGCCTCAGCCTCAGCCTGCCTCAGCCTGCCTCAGCCTGCCTCAGCCTCAGCATCAGCCTGCCTCAGCATTCAAAATGTGGCCAGGGAATGGAATTCTGGGAACTCGAAGAACACGAAGTGGCCTACAGTTTGCTCCGGGCATTCAAAATCATACCCAGGAATGGAGTTCTGGGAAGTCCAAGAGCACGAAGTGGACTACAGTTGGCTCCGGGCATCCAAAATGTGGCCCGGGAATGGAGTTCTGGGAACTCGAAGACCACGAAGTGGCCTACAGTTGGCTCCGGGCATCCAAAATGTGGCCCGGGAATGGAGTTCTGGGAACTCGAAGACCACGAAGTGGCCTACAGTTGGCGCCGGGCATCCAAAATGTACGCCGGGAATGGAGTTCTGGGAACTCGAAGACCACGAAGTGGCCTACAGTTGGCTCCGGGCATCCAAAATGTACGCCGGGAATGGAGTTCTAGCAGCGCCAAAAGCGATTTTGCGAGGATGTCCCAGGTGATTTGGGCTTCGGCGGCAGCCGCCCCGGGTCCCGCCCGGACCCCCCTGTGGAGTCATCTGCTGCTCTCTTTTGACCCCACTAGAAACCTATCAGTGTTCGCTGTTAGGTAAATACCTCAAAAATGCAAAAACAAAAAAAAAAAAAAACTCATAGTCCCCAGACTATGTGTGGACTGTGTTTTAACTATTTGGGGGGTATTCTTTATTTCTCGTCGAAAAAATCCCCCTGTAGGGGGGGCAGGCCCGAGAGAAGTGTAATCGACCCCTGCGTGCCTAATTTGCGCAGGCCCCAGCTGGCGCGGCCCCTCCTCCCCGGCAGCGGCCGCTGCTGGGCCGCCAGGCCCTGGGGCCGGTGGCTGGGCAGCGGCTGCTCTTCAGTCGGGCGTGTCCCCCTGCAGGGGGATTTTCGAGGGAAACAAAAATTATCCCGGCAAAGCAACCTAACAGCGATGTGCAGGAGCATATCTGGAAGCATTCCCCTTCAGATTCAGATGAGAATCCAGTTGTAGAATTCTGCTGTTCTCGCAGTCGTAGTCGCATTCGCGATGAGAGTCGCAGTGGCAACGGCAGTCGCAGTCACAGCCTCAGCCTCAGCCTGCCTCAGCCTCAGCCTCAGCCTGCCTCAGCCTCAGCCTGCCTCAGCCTCAGCCTCAGCCTGCCTCAGCCTCAGCCTCAGTCTGCCTTCAGCCTTGGCCTCAGCCTCAGCCTGCCTCAGCCTCAGCCTGCATCGGCCTCAGCCTCAGCCTCAGCCTCAGCCTCAGCCTGCCTCAGCATCAGCCTGCCTCAGCCTCAGCCTCAGCCTGCCTCAGCCTCAGCCTCAGGCTGCTTCAGCCTCAGCCTCAGTCTGCCTTCAGCCTCGGCCTCAGCCTCAGCCTGCCTCAGCCTCAGCCTGCCTCGGCCGCAGCATCAGCTTGCCTCAGCATTCAAAATGTGGCCCAGGAATGGAATTCTGGGAACTAGAAGAGCACGA